CATATAAAAATTTTTATGAAGATAGTGGTTCTTATAAAATAAAATTTAGTTAATAAAAAATTCTGTTTATAGTTTGATTTTTAAATAATAAAATAATTGAGTGTTATTTTTATAACTTATTCCTAATTATTTTCTAAGTCCTCACAATGATTTTATATTACGTGAGTTCTTTTTACTATATTTTCTATTAGTATGTATGGTTATTTATTTGAAAAAAAAATCAAACCTATTATTTATCACTAAAACAAAATAATTTTGTTTTTAAGCCTACTTTATTTTTCCCAATCGAAATTTTCAAATCTAATTCATAATTATTCAAATTTATATTACTTTAAGTCTATTTAAATGGATTTATCTCAAATCCAAATTCATATTTTGAGACTTTAAGTTTAATCCATTTAATTGAATTTGTTGGGTATTATTTTGAATTTTAAAAATCATATATCAAGGTACCTCTACTTTATTTCAAGTCACGAAATGCTCGGTCAAACTAGATATAAGAAAGTAGAATTGGGCTTAATCAAGACCACGTTGGGTCTAGTCCAATAAAAACTCACGTCAGGTTCATATTGAGGTGAATCGAGCTAGGTCTAAGTAAAGCTAAATTGGCCTAAGTAGAAAATGAACCAAGTTAGCCTACGCCTCGTTTAAGAAAAATGTAGATTGAGGCAAGTTTGGCAGATCCAAGTTGATACTTTAAAAAAATATTAATATATTTTGAAACATCAAAATCCATCAATGTATTTTGAAGACATAACAGAAAATCCAAATTCACCAAATAGGTCGGTAAAATGTTTGCCAAATTACCACCACACAACCCAGTTTCCAATTATTTATACCACTGTTTTCCAAACCTACCCATACCAGTAACGTTTTCTTTAAGGAAATTTGGCTTCAAGGAGCATGCATCAACTGAACAGAAATGATATAACTCAAAAACCAGAAGAAAATAACTAAAACATTCACAAATGGCCGTAATTGGGTAATTCATCTAACTAAAGAATAATGGTACCACACGTGAAGCCCTTATAATTTTATTTTTTAAATTTAGATACTTCATTAATAGTACTTCTTGATCTGCATATGATACACTCCATCCTTTGATCAAGCTTTCCTCAAACTTAAAGGTTTCCACGAGTCCAAAGGCTACAATCGAATGAACAAGGGGTCATCTGAACTCAAGTTACACATAATGATTTAACTTTGATACCCTCAGGCTTTCACTACGTATTGCTAATACATTCTCCGTACAGTGATCACAGAATTTGCAGTCAGTCTTAATGGACAGAACACTGTCCAAGTTTCAATGGAAGAAGGATGAGCAAATTTCATCAACACCTCAACCGATGCAATGTTTTCCTGCCCAAAAATATAATTATTAGCACAAAATGAAAGATAGACAATGCAAGTTCTTCCGTGTTCCAATGTAGAAAGCACAAAAACAAGAAACCAATGTTTGGTTAACAACTAGTTACATAAGAGTCTATAATTGTCAATGAATAAAGATTAACCAAAGCTTTTTCTCACCATTTGTGATCAGTTACATGGATCAAACAATGCCTGTGTTTTTACCAAAAGCAAATTCTGTAGATATGCGTCACTATGGAAAGTGTAGAAAGTATAAATTGTGTTACACCAGCATCAGATTTATATTATAAATATAAAGCATTTCCTTTTGCTGATCTGTATCTGAAATTTATTGTGACACCTAAGCCTCAGAGTCACAATCAGTAGAGGACCTATGTTAAATTGATGGAGCGCATTCACTCTGTATATAACTGAAATTTTATACTTTAGCCCCTCATTTTTTATATATTTAAACCCCCCATCCCCAATTTCCATTCTGACGTCAAATTTTCTTTTGCTATCAAGTTTCGTTCATTCATTCGGTTCCATTTTTAACTGAGTACTTTTCACTTTATTTACCTAGACATTCCATTCCGTGTCAATTTATCCATTCCATGATGATGACGATGATTATAATAGTCAATATTATTACATTTATTTTTCAAAATATATTGTCCCCAATGATCCAAGGTCTAAGGTCCTGGATTTACGACTACCACATTGAGAAACCACATCTTTTATAAGTACAAGATACAAAATTCATAATATGTGAGAACCTATGCAAGTCAACAACATTACTAACACAAATTTGCAAATCTTCTTGATAGGGAGCAAATAATTTTGGAATAAACAGTTGGTCAGAATCACAGCAACAAATATGAATCATAATGTTTAGTCCCTCCTCTGGAGAAAATTGCAAAAGAATTATTCATCTATCCTGTTTTGTTTCATTTTTTTGTACTGCATAATCAGGAGAAAACTTGCCCTAATCTTAATAATAGTTTTGCAAGAAAACTGATCAATAAGATAAAAACCAGAAGGGCAAACAATTCCAATATTATTATTGATATTGATCATAATTGCTATGACAATCATTTAATCTATAAGGAATGGATTTAAAAAGGAAACAGAGTAGAAAAGGTGAATCAATCAAGCAAAAAAGTAGGAAAAGAAATATTATCCTTAGGGCAAGCAGTAGATTTGATTTTGTATACAGATATTTTTGGAGGAATTAGCATATTAAAGACTCACAGCTATTGCATATTTTAAGCTTTTTCCGCTTGACATGCTTATTATCCCTTTGGCTTATGGTCTTACGCTCCTCCATAGGGTGATACTTCATAGACGCCAACTCTTCTTTTGCAGTATCAAGCCTGCGCTTTTCATCTTTCTGGAACAATTTTCTGTAAGTAACAACCCAATGAAGCTTTACATGCGATTCGGAAATCAACACTTACATAGAACAGCTCCAACCCTGCAATCTGTTGCTTACAAAGCTTTAGTTCCATCTCAAGAGCGTGTATCCGACATTCAGCAGGGACAGCACTCTGCTCAACCATTTGTTTTTGCCTACTTCGGACAACCTCCGGTTGCCACACATTCAAAGCTACAAAGGCTTGCCTACAAAAAAGAAAAAAAAAAAAAACTCACAAAACCCCCATCAACACCAAAGCTACTATTACGTACTCAGGTACGTAAACTAGCCAAATACAATCTTTCACACTCTCACACACGTGATAGAACAATAAACGAATGATAATGGATGAATGAGTCTCTTTTATTGATAAGAATAACTAAATAATATAGAAAACAAACAATAATTGGGAGTATAACCTCCGTCAACTATTCTGGAGCATAACCTCCTTTACAAAACTCACAAATCAAAAGCATACCCTTAATCCTAGACTCTAACTTTATTTATACTAATTATTTCCCACCCCATTTCCCAAGAATATATCTGCATTTAATATAAATATCTCTATATTTAATATGAATATCTTCCCGTATATTATCCTAGCATATATTCTTAATTATAAATATCTTATATTGAATATTTCCTAAGATATATATATTTATTTATTATAATTAACTTATACGGAATATTCTCTCCTATTGTAGCTCCTTTTACTGTAACTAGCTCTCGCCCCCCTAACCACTACGCAATTAAGATGGTGATTCTTCAACCTTTCGGCTTAGGTCTTCCCACCGTTCGGCCTGGTCGCTCCCTGCCTCCCACCTTTCGGCCTGGTCGCTCCCTGCCTCCCACCGATCGGCCTGGTCGCTCCCTGCCTCCCACCGTTCGGCCTAGTCGCTCCCTGCCTCCCACCGTTCGGCCTGGTCGCTTCCTGCCTCCCACCGTTCGGCCAGGTCGCCCCCATTGTCACCGTTTAGCTTGGTCGCTCCCTTTTTGTCCACCGTTCAGTCTGACCATTCCCCCTTGTCCACCGTTCAGCCTTACCTCTCAATGCCTTCCACAGTTTGGCCTTTACGGTCAATACCGTTCAGCCTCATTTCCCTCCTACCTTTCTTCTCCTTCTCATTACCTCCCACCTTATATCCTAACATTACACCCCGCTATTCCCTCCCACCTTATATCCTAGCATTACACCTCGCTGCAAAACAACCTTGTCCTCAAGGTTGGAATCGGGGAGCTTGATCTCATGGCTCCTCATCAATCCAGGTCTAGAGGCTCGGGTGGTGGCCATCCCTCCTCATCTTCCACCAATATCGTGACTCTCAAGCTCCTGTCCGGACAGTGGTGAGCAGGACCAAACAGAACGCCGCATCTAAAGCACCTTCCTTCTTTCCTTTGTTTCACATATTCCTCATAGGGTAGATTCCTCAGGTTTCTTTCCTTTCGTCTGAAACCCATACCCTCTGTGATTGTTGCTCGACTCTCCACAGCAGTTACCGTCCGACTCTGGTTAGGGCGACTGGACTCCAACCGCGTATTCGAACCGTTCGGTCTCTCAAATTGATTCTTGATCATACTTCCGCTCCCAGCCTTCACGCTCCTTGGACGTCCTCCACGTCCATCGCCATCCTCATAGCTATCATCGCCATCCTGTAAACCTGCCATGAAGTAGCCCATCAGCTATGCTTTGGCCACTCCTTTTGTCTGTCCCACCAAAATTTCAAATTCTTGGATGTATTCCTCCACCAAGCCTATCTGCTTAATGGCCGTCAGTCTCTCAAAGACTGGTCCCTGACTGCTGCCTCCGAACCGTACCACTATTGCCTCCTTCAGTCCCGTCCACGTTCGGTCGTCAGTTTGCTCCCTCCAGAATCTGACCCAGAATCCTGCACTACCCTTCATGCTGATGTACGCTAGACGCAACTTTTCCTCCTCAGACACCCCTTGTAACTCGAAGAATTTATCCGCTCTACTGATCCAGTTCAGTGGATCACTCCCTTCGAAAACGGGTAACTCTACCCTTCTTCTCCAATTCAAAGGTTCCTCCTAGCGTTCAACACCGTTCGGTCCATTGCCCCTCTCACCGTTCGATCCACCTCCTTCCCCACCGTTCGGTCCTTCCTTCATCCTTCTCGCCCTCCTCCTTGTTGACTTTCCCATTGATGGACCCCTGACTTCCTTTTGACTTCCCATCTAGATGATGGGCTCGTACTGCCATCATTCTCATCAGCTCTTGTAAATTCTTGCAGATTGCTTCCTTCTTCGTCTCGCCTATGGACACCTGCATGCTTTCCTGATTTAACCCCACGTGCTCCAGTTTGACTTTGACTGCACTCATCCTCCCCTCCATGACGTTTCTCACTCTTCTTTGTCACTCCGACTGGCCTCACACTCTCTCCTTGATCTGGCAGGTCGAACCAAGAATTGTTACGCACCTGAGTATGTAAACTAGCCAAATACAACCTTTCACACTCTCACACACGTGATAGAACAATAAACGACTGATAATAGATGAATGAATCTCTTTTATTGATAAGAATAACTGAATCAAATAGAAAACAAACAATAATTTGGAGCATAACCTTCGTCAACTATTCTGGAGCATAACCTCCTTTACAAAACTCACAAATCAAAAGCACACCCTTAACCCTAGACTCTAGCTTTATTTATACTAATTATTTCCCGCCCCATCTCTTACTAAATATTTCTCTAGGAAATATTTGCATTTAATATAAATATCTCTATATTTAATATGAATATCTCCGTATATTATCCTAGCATATATCCTTAATTATAAATGTCTTATATTGAATATTTCCTAGGATATATATATATATATATATATATATATAATGTATATTTATTTACTCTAATTAATTTATACTGAATATTCTCTCGTATTGTGGCTGCTTTTACTGTAATTAGCTCTCGCTCCCCTAACCGCTGCGCAGCTAAGATGGTGATTCTTCAACCGTTCGGCTCAGGTCCTTCCCTGCTTCCCACCATTCGGCCTGATCGCTCCCTGCCTCCCACTGTTTGCCCTGGTCGATCCCTGCCTCCCACTGTTTGCCCTGGTCGATCCCTGCCTCCCACCGTTCGGCCTAGTTGCTCCCTGCCTCCCACCGTTCGGCCAGGTCGCCCCCGTTGTCACTGTTCAGCCTGGTCGCTCCCCTTTTGTCCACCTTTCGGTCTGACCATTTCCCCTTATTCATTGTTCGGCCTTACTTGTCAATGCCTTCCACCGTTCGGCCTTTATGGTCAATATCGTTCGGCCTCACTTCCCTCCTACCTTTCTTCTCCTTCTCATTACCTCCCAACCCTTATCATTATCTCCCACCTTATACCCTAACAACTACCCAAGCTAATAAATGCAGTAAAACCTACAACAAACCCACCATGGAGCAAAAAATATAGCTCATACTCTTAGAATATGAGTTTAGGTGCCTAACTCAATCTTGAAAAATCAATTGGTAAGATAAGAACTACCCAAACTTCATAAAAAAAAAAAAAACTCACAAAACCCCATCAACACCAAAGCTACCCAAGCTAATAAATGCAGTAAAGCCTACAGCAAACCCACCATGGAGCAAAAGATATAGCTCATACTATTAGAATATGAGTTTAGGTTCGTAACTCAATCTTGTAAAATCAGTTGGTAAGATAAGAACTATCCAAATTTCATTTAAGTCATATTTCTAGTCTATATGAGACAAAATACCATTCAGGCTCCAACTGAGTCTCCAATGACGTAGCAACTATGGGCTCCAACTGAGACTCTTCTTTTATTTAGGTGACTTTCCAATGGATAAAATTACAATAGTCAATAGCTGCAGCCAGTTACCCCGGAAATGAAAAATCAATCCACCCCCATTACTGTTCTGTTATATAAACAAGAACATTAAAATACCCACATAACACCAAAAAGATAGCATAACCAATAAAACAATCCGCAACAAGAATTTTCACAACAGAGTCCATATAGGATCGGCATAAGAATTCAACTAAAACACAGATGAATAAAAGAAAAAGGCTTTGGTATGTGTGTGTGAGATGAAAGATTAAGTGGGTAGAGTACCTGGCCCTACGCAAATTGGACAAGTCTTGAGCAGTTTGTGTGGCTGTGGCGGTTTCTTGAGCAACACGTGTCTGAATTTCTCTGAGTTTTCTAGAATGTTCCGCAATCTGGCTCTCTTTTCTCAACACAGCCCTCCTATGAGCAGCTATTCTCCTCTCCTTGTCCCTCTCAAACCTAATTACCAAAAACTCACTTCATAAATAAGTAATAAAAATTTGAGCTTTAAAGTTACCCAGATAAGAAAATCACACAAAAGGCAGAAGGGCGAGCTAAGAAGAGTTGAAAACGCGGAACAAAATTCGCACCTTAATTTATATAGAGATTTAGAAGAAGTGGAAGAAGAAGGATGGGGTTGAGGATAGTCGGCGGAGAGAAGGCGGTTCCAAAGAAGATCCTCGGAGGAGAGGCGGTGCAGGCGGCGGCATGAGATGGAGACGCAGCAGAGATCCTTGTAGCTGAAACCGCTGCTTTCGATTCCGATTTCTAGAATTCGCCGCCATAGTTCTTCCGGGAGAAAGGACATTCTCCGAATTCCAACAAAATGTTCAAAAGCTATAATTGCAGCCTGATATATACAATAATATTTATTTATATTTCCGATAAATATTATCTATTATTAAATTAAATTTATTCAATAAAATTTGAATATACTTTCTTTTAAAAAAAACTCAGATTTAACTTATTCAATTAAAAATTTAATTGAAATATTAATTTGTCGTAAATACATTTTTGTTAAGAATTATATTTACAACAATTTGAATTGGATCCTATATAATTCAAGTTGGTAGAGAAAAAAAAAAGAATTATCTATATTAGTTTTGTACTACATTCACATGCTTCCATTTTTTTACTACAACGGCATTGCCACCTCTTCCATTCCACATGCATTTTATTCCTTTAATGGAAAGAGCCACTCTAGTTAAGGTGAAAATCATATTGCTATTCTCAAGGTCAACAAGACAAAAAAAAAATGAGAAGTTAGTGACAAATATGCTTCATGAGGGAATTATTCCATCAAGCAAGAGTCTTTTTTTCATCTTCCTAATGTTCATCTGAAATGTAGAAAATTGAGTATTTTACCCATATTCTTTTAGGCTAAGATGTGGCTATGGATACTTAAAAGTTGAAACTTGTCAAAAAGTGACTTTAGCCAAAAAATTTAAGCAATTGGAAGGATTTCACGGTTTAATCAGATATTATAGATGATTTGTGAAAGGATATGCTTGGCTAGTAGCACCTTAATTGACTTATTGCAAAAAGATGCGTTTTAGCGGAATGAAGTAGCAACACAAAAAATCTTCGAATGCACTTACTGCTTTCCAATTTTCCAGAACTGTGTTATTTTGGAAACGGTTGCAAGCTCATAAATGGAAACGATAGAGTAAAGGAAATAATCCCATTGCATAATCAACATATACATAATTGTATGCTAATAAAACGAATAATAAAAGCTTCAAAGAACTCTTAGACCAATGGTTGCAAACACCAAAGATGCATAAGTTGATTTCACAGTATTGTATAAACTGAGAAAAGAAAATATCCATACAATTGAGTTGTCAAGAGATTTTATGATGGCATGGTCTAGGCCTAATCAGTGGCTTAAGAAGGTTGCAAAATTAATTCAAACTGATATCAATTTCCTCACAACTAGTCACCTCCCAAAATTTTTGTTATGACAATTATTTCTTCTTTTATATCCATCTCATTCACAGTTTTACCTCCAGTGTTTTATTTAATATCATTAACTTATTCTTTAACACAAAGCCCGTTGAACCTCAAAGCTCTTCTTCCACAGACCCTTTCTTAGCCACCTCCTTGAATTCTTTATTTTCAAACAAACAATCTCACACCCGAAAGAATTTCAGGCCCCAATCCTCTGTTTTAGAAGTATAGAACAGAGTCCGAACAACTCCTATTTAGAATTTATTACGTATTTAGAGACACAATAATCATCCTATGCCATAGTTAACAAGACACGGAGCATAAGACAAAAAAACAGTACACGTTCACTTAAAGAAAACAGAAATAAGTGCAAGAAAATGCCAGGAATGACAGATGGGAACTCCTTTAGGTACTTCCATCCAAAGAAATATCAACTTATATTAAGACTAAAAAAAGGAAAGTGAATAAAAACTTTAATGAAAAGCTATTTCCTTATCTAGGTCTTAGATGGATTCTCTTTGTTAAACACATTTTGTTTGACTTCTTAAATCAAGAAGTCATCCGAATATACTTCTCTTATTCAATGAACAAGAATATAATTGTATAGTAATCACTCCCAAGAAAGTCCGATCTCCCTCCACTGGACTAGTGTTCCAGATAACAACAAAATATTCATTTCCTAATCCTTGCCCTTTACCATTAATTCTTATTTATACTCCCATTTTCCTCTAACTAACTTCTAACATAAACTTCCTCCTAATTTCTAACAGACATTCTCTCCTTCCCGCCTTTATTTCTCCTCACGTATACTTTTATTCCCCTATCAATACCCCTCCATCTCAACAACCTTGTCCTCAAGGTTGAAATTCAGAAATTGTTGCTTGATGTACAACTCTTCTTCCCAAGTTGCTCCTTCTACGCTACCTTCTTGCCATTGGATCAGAATTTGAGATACTTCCTCTCCTTGTTGATTTATGTCTCTCTTTTGTAATACCTTTAAAGGTCTAACGAGATCCCTTAGTCCTTCTTGTAATCCAGCAAAGAAATACCGAAGAAGTTGTTCCTCCGTCACGCCCGCCGCCTGAGCCACCAGGACTTCGAATTCATGTACATATTCTTCTACCGCTCCTCTTTGTCGCATTGCCGCCAATTTTCGAAGATTGTTCCCCGATGTCTACCTCCAAACCTCCTGACCATCGCCTCCGTCAATGTCGCCCAGGTAGGATTCTTCACCTTCTTCCGCCAAAAGCGGAACCAATAATTCGCTCCCCATTCCATACAGATGTACACCAGCTTCATCTTCTCCCTTTCTGTCACATTTTGTAATTCGAAGAATTTCTCTGCCCTAGCGATCCATCCCATCGGATCGACCCCTTCGAAAATGGGTAATTCCACTCTCTTCATCCAATTCTTTTGAACGTCGCGTTCTTCCTCCGATTCATCCTCTGACTCATCCTCCTTCGTACCCCGACCTTCATTAACCAAACGATTGCTTTCAAAACTCCTCCCTTGGTTCCCTCTTCTCCCACGGTTGCGATTCGCGTTTGGAGCCATTCCCCTCATCTCCGCTCGAATTTCCTCCAACGTCGCTTCCATGGAATCGAATCTTCCCTCCAATGCACTCACCCTGTTCTCCATCTTGTCTCTCCTTCGATTTGGATCCGGCAGGTCGGGCCAATATTGTTGGACTTCTTAAATCAAGAAGTCAAGAAAGGAAATAGATCACACCAACAGAACACACTTATCTGAATATACTTCTCTTATTCAATGAACAAGAATACAATTGTATAGTAATCACCCCCCAAGGAAGCCCGATCTCCCTCCACTGGACTAATGTTCCAGTTAACAACAAAATATTCATTTCATAATCCACGACCTTTACCACTAATTCTTATTTATACTACCCTTTTCCTATAAATAACTTCTAACAGAAACTCCCTCCTAATTTATAACAGACATACTCTCCTTCCCGCCTTTATTTCTCCTCACGTATACTTTTATTCCATATCACATTTGTATTGTTTTGTAGGTCACAAATAAAGGTTGGAGACCATGCCTATGCATCCTAGAAGGCTTGCCAAGCTAAAGAGAGCAAATGAGGCAAAGAAGAGAGCATCTAAAGTGATTTCCGGATTAAAGTTTTTGACTTCCGGATTGGACTACAAAGGGAGATTGGCTTCCGGAATAGAACCTGTGCCCAACTACCAACACCATGAGCTTAGCCATTACGAACCAGAATTTAAGCTTTTAAAACACGTTTTAATTATGTTTCGCATGGGACTTGCAGCCCAAGCTTAAATTGCGTCTTCAACACACTTCTTTTGTCATTCTTTAGAGCTTGGTAGATCAGCTATAGAGCCCTCTCTTCACCTATAAAAGAGAGGCACTCTCCATTGCAAAATCCAACTTTGAAGAGATAATGAAATGCTATTGAGTTTACTCCAGGCTTATCCTCAGAGTTCAAACTTTCTTGTGCTTATTTTGCACTCCTTCCTCTAGCTTCCTTCCCCCTTAGAAGGTCTTCTGAGCTTGAGAAACCTCACACACTTACCAAACCTCCACTAAACCATTTCACAAACACTTGGCGTGTACCTGCGTCTTCCTTCATCAATTCATTTCGCTACATCCATTTTGATTCGTGGAGAGCTCTAGCTTGAAGAGTGGAGCTGCTTCCATCAATGACTAATGTGAGAGAAACGGAATTGAAAGTGCAAAGACTTCATATATAAGCTAGGTGTCCCAAAAAAGGACTGGTTTGATCCGAAAACGGTTGGACTGTTGGGAGGTGGTCACAAAATATGTCAGGAGGACAATGATGCGAACAAGGGAGAAACCAACATTAAATTTTGATCTTACATTCCAAAAATTGTTAGTTATCATGTCACCGAAATTGAAGATAATGTGCAAAACATTAACAACTCAGAGACGGGTGAGCAGTATCACAACCAGATTAACAGGTCCTGGTTAACACTTGAGGAGCAAAGAAATACAGGTCAGGCCAGACTATCATCCCAACAGTAGATCCAATCGTATTGAACTCTAGATGTTTCAAATTATAAACACCTTATCAATTTTATTTCTGATGTTGGCATACCTAGAGGCATCAAGAAAAAGTTATGGGACTCATGCTCCTCATTCCATTTAAAAATGTCCCACAAAATCTGTCATGTAACCATAAAGTTTTTCCTCTAGAATTTCTGATCTGTATGGTGTCAAGAAGCATCACAGAAGCTCTACATCTGGATTGAGAAATGGCTGAGATGGAATGAAAGCTCTTCTAAGAAAAGGACTTCGGAAATAGTTTATTTACCATCAAACAAAAAGACAGTGATTGCCATTCTTATTAACAGTGCAAATGTATTGGAATTCAAATTTATATTTTGCACAACCCTTGGTGAGTCAATTCATGCACACAATTTGAAGCTGAACCATCTAAAAGGGTCATTAGGAAGAGAATTGTTGTTCAGGAAGCACGATCACTTGCAAATAGAAGCCTAACCCAATGCATAATGGGTGGCAGTACTGCTCTGATATGAGGGGTACCTATGATGACCATTGTACATTTCTTGGAAGAAAAACTCGGTACATGGAGAAACAGGAAATCAATGTAGTAGCAACTAGTCAGAAATAGAATGTAGATTACCGACCCATGCAATATGAGATTATGTGAGTTGAAAGACTACTAAGGACATCTACAGTACAAGGGTCATAATCGGGACCATGAGCTTAAAACCTAGGTTTTATAAGAAACTCCATTGGAACATGCTGATATGGTATGAGAAGATCTTCAAAACTGTCATAAGAATTAAAAATTATTTCTCATGTTGCAAACGCTGTACTTACAATGAATGAACTGTACATAAAAATTATTAAAATGTAGGTTTTATAAGATCTCATATTAGAACAAAGCATACAAGAAGATTTTAAAAATAACGTGACATACTAAGATTTACATGAAACAAAATAAGACTCTATAGTATGACTCTTGCATTAGAGATAACTAAGAACTTTATAAGTTGCCAACTCTAAACCTGTGAAAATCTACAATTACCATTCGCCGTAATTGTCAATCCTGTTTTTTTTATGACAGAATCAAGCATGTGAAAGCAGATAAACTTCATTAAAATGAAAGAAGAAAAATAGACAGACTGCATGCCCTATGTCCTTACAAAAGAACAAATTGCAAACATTATCAGATTATTTAGATGAGCTATCTATGGAAGAAATTCTTTAAACCCAACCGAGAATGGGAGGATGAAGTATGTTTCAATTCCAAGACCTAGATAAAAGGACATATGTTAAGAATGTAGAATACCAGTAAATAGTATTGATATTAATTTGGATTTAGAAGGTATATAACTTGGAACGTCTATATACGGGGAGGCCAAGACCCTAAAAGTTAAATTGATTGATATTCATACAGTATCACTTCATTCTTATAACAACAGTGGGGAGAAAGAGACACAGTACACTAAAAACTATTCTCAACAAAGTAAACAACTTTGAACTATATAAGAGGCAAAACAAATTTCTCAAAGGCATAAGAAAGGAACCTTTAACTGCTGCCAGACTTAAATCAATCAGATATTTGTAAGCAAAGTTTTGTCTATAATCTGCAGAGAACTAATGGTAAGCGATGCATAAATACATCCTTAGAATTACTTGTGTGCATTATAGTACAACTTAAAAGCACATATGCAGATCACCCTTTTCGTGCACATCAAAATGTACACGTGATACTTTAATACAAAATCACCCGTCAATGCTACCCTCTTGCTTAAAGTCAACAATTTGAGCAAACATGACACAGCCTTCTGAATTGTTTTCGGTTTGTAAGAAATATACTAATCTCAAAAAATGATGGATAATATCCATTATGGAGGCTATAAATTGTACGAAAAGTCCATACACACACTCAAGTAGATGTGATAAACTCAGCAAGTGCCAGTAAATAATAACTTCCTCTCCAAATCTCATGTACAACAAAAGGACAAGGAAGACTTGCTTAATATAACTAGTCATTTTAGTTTTAAAATTTACAATCTCTAGAGAAAAGGGCATGGAAGGGGTGGTTGAATTGCATTTCATTTCAAACATCAGTTACAACACTATCTGTGAAAATGAGCACAAGTATATCATTTGCTGTAATGGATATAATCCTACTTAATCATTCCATGCAAAAATTCCTTGTACATGAAACCACTAGAACATTCCTAAAGCCTAGCCTGCCAAACCTGTATCTCAAAAACCTCAAAACATCATCAAATTGGTGGCAGTCCCAACAATGAAGGGCTCCATCAGCAGCCGCGTCAAAAAATAGAACAGAACCCCCAGGGCGATCGAAATTGGAAGTGCCGGCAGAGCCTGCCGGCACACCGACAACAATATCAGTGTGCACCCCAGTCCCGAAATAATGGCAAGGTAACACGCATACACTGTCATCAAATCATACATGGCAGCTCTCCCCACAAGAACACTGTAGAAAACAAAGTCCCCAAGGCCAAGCTTAATCCCCCTCTCCCCACCAATCTCCCTCATCACTCTCTCGGCGTCCTCACCATCCCCAATCCCACTCATTTCAACAAGGGGAGACATCTCCTCATTAATAACAACCTCGCCAAATCTCATTCCACCAACCAATGGGGACCTTTCCCCTTCATCGCTCCCACCATGATTCGCATCAATGTCGTCGTCATCATCATCATTGTTACTTACATTATCCCTAGAAACTACCTGAAGCTCAATTCTAGAAGCTTCAGAATCCGAAACCCCGGCGACCATAAATCCTAGGGCGGCGGGGGTTCGGGTAGCGACAGTAGGACGCGCCTCGTAGACCAACGCCGGCAGCTCCTCGTTCCGAGTGGACGCCAAATCGACGAGGAGCTTGAGCGGGCCTCCGGGGGCGAGAACGGCGACCAAATCGTAGAGCGCGAGCGCAACGAGGAGCGTCCACGTGGTCCACTCAGGCAATTTGGTGAACCAAGCAGCGACGATGATCACGAGGCAGACCATGTACGCTTGGCGGAGAATAATCGGGATCCCGCCGGCGAAGACGGAGAGTACTCCGACGACGGTGAAATTGAAGAGCAGAAGCAAGGAGGATACCGCGTCGAGGGGGATGGAGAAGCGCTGGAGGAGGGAGAGGAGGATGGATCCGCCCATGGAGGCGAGGACGAAGAAGGCGGAGAAGCGCGTGTAGTGGCGAAGGAAGGAGGTACAGTTGTAGTAGTAGAGGAGTACGAGGAGGAAGGTGACGAGCGCGATGAGGCCGACGAAGACGACGGCGTTGAGGAGCGCGCCCTCGAACTTCTCCGCTGGGCTATCGGCGGGATTCTCGGCGTAGACGAGGTTGGCGGCGGTTGTGATGGTGGCGGCAGAGGATGACGGCGAGGAGAGGGCGTAGACCAGAAGAACCACCAGGAACATGCAGATCGACACCGGACTCATCACGCCGATGATTTCAACGCCCAGACATTCCAGAACGCTCTGTTCCATTCTCGCGATTTTTTAGGTTTTTTTTTTTTACTTTTTTGCTTTTGGTTTCTCTCAGCGCTCCAACTCCGTAACGTTAACAAACTCCATTCTCTTCTGAACCTTGCATAAGAATTTTTCTTCTTTCTTTGCCCATGATCATGCAGAGTTGAGCACTTCTTAATTTTCCTGTTTTTATTATCCAACAAAGAAATTTATCCCCTTTTTGGGTGTTAGAGTATTCTTTGACTCTATTATTTTAAGCACGGATTAAATAAATTTACCATATTATTTATCTTAATATATGTGTTTGGTTAAAACAACTTACGATTGTAAGAAACAACGTGGTAATTGTCAAGAGAAACATCATTTTTATCTCATTTTTTACATTTTACTTAATACAAGTTTTAAAGGTCAACACTCACTCAAAGTGTTTGAAGGTGCACAACTTCTATACTCACAACAAAAAAAAAGTGAAGTTATACACTACCCTTTATATGTTTTCAGCGTTGGTGGTGATCGATTACAAACTTTTATAATTAATTATAATATAAGAAAATTACAACTTACTTATAATTTACTTATAATCGATTATATCACTATTATAATTGATTATCAGGATTGAAATTCGAAATTAAAAGGATCACGTAATTGAATAAATTGTTTCCTTTATAATAAATTTAAGTAATTTACATCATAAATTGCATCAATTGTTTTTTATACTGAATTTAAATCTTTCATATTCATTATAAATTGTTTCTTTTATACTTAATTAAATAATTTACACTGTCAATTGATCTTATTTAAGATGAGTATAAAGAAAATATGAGAATCTTTTTTATGCACAACAAATTCATTTGGTAATTCAAATTCATATGTTTTAACTTAGTTTTAATATTTTTTTCTCTGGTAATCGATTACAACAACACTTTGTAATCAATCACCGAACCTTTTTATTCGAATTTCAGTAATTGATTAGTGAAGTCGTGACCTTTCTGAACTACTTCAATACTGTGAAATTAATTACAAGTGCTCGTAATCTATTACTAGTGTTTGAAAACGTATCAGGATGCACAAATTCATCTTTTTTATTTTGACAGTATATAAGTTGTGCACCTCCTGTACAAATTCTTCATTTGAAGTCATGTGAAAGACAGCACAACTTATCCATTTCCGTAAACAAAAAAAATTTGCCTAGATCCATAATAACAAACTAAATTTTGTCTAAAAATGTAAAAAAAAAAACTAATTAAATTGATCTTCGACACCTGTGCCTCACATATCATAATAATCAATTACATACTTTGCCATTTTTTATTGAATAATTTTCAAAAGATACAAAGAAAAAAGGACAAGATATTAGCACCCTTTCATTCAAAGATTCCTATGACAAGCCATGTTCAAAGGAATGGGTGGATCAGAAAATGCACCATCAACAATCTGTTCAAGCACCCTTTTGTTTGCAGCCTGAGTGTAATGAACGCCATCCCAATTAACCCAAACAGATGGATCCTTGCATGGCTTCGCCACCAGAATCTCTTTCCCACCACGCTTAATCTTAGCACCACACCCCATGTGCAAATTGTAGTTGTACTTTCCACCATGTCCACAACATGCTCTCAATGGTTCCTCAAAACCTGCATTCAACAAACAAACTCATTTTCCCACACTTTTTTCACAAACTAAACAAGTCCAAACCAGAGACAGAGGGTTTACCATGCTTCTTCGGATGACTAATGAGAGAGTACTTCGCAGCGTAAACATCAACATAAGTGATAGCAGCCAGGGGAAGCTCTTTTCTGAGTTGAAACACAACCTTTTCCAGTTCACGATTGAAGAACTTGGCCACTTCATTATAAGGGGTTGCACATCCTGCTTTGTCCACTAATGACCGTTTCACTGGGTGAAGATCCATTATGTATGGCAAACAACCAACAGGACCCGTATTGTGAACCCAAAATGACCTTCCTCCATGATTATATATATACTAACAAAACCAAACAAATACACAAACATCTGTCATGCACATGCTGTTAGTTTGTTTTCTGATTAAACTTTATGCAGTTCCTATATTTGTATGTTTTAGTTCATATACTTGCAAGAATACAGTAGTTCTAGTACATGAATCAAACATCTATACATAACTTATTCTCGAAATTGAAGTTACTATAAACAGTTTGTATTTTCCACAAATGTTAAACCAAATATGTATCAGAATGCAAGAACTGTATAAGTTAACTTTTCTGAATCAGCAACAAGAAACATCACATGCATTACCTTGATTACGTTCTTGAATTGATCCAAAACATCTGGAACATACGCTCTAACTTGATCCGTGGACATGTTGTGGAAGTAACCAGATGCCAAGTCATTTTGACCAATATCAAACGTGTACAATGCTTGAGAAAAGTATTCTGCTTTTGGTAACAATGTTTCGTATACTCCACCTAAGAGGGATGAAGAATGATCATTGATCATGAAGAACACAAGAAGGGAAAATATGGTTCATGTGTTGGCATTACCTTTATTGCGAAAAATTTGGGTTCTGCGTTGGAAATCACTGAATTGATTGAATTGAACGTCCAGAGAGAAAGGGCTGAAGCCTCCACTTTGATGAAGGGTTGTGTTCTGAGGTCTAATGGTGGATCCAGCAGTTGCAAAGTTCGCTCCATGGCTATAATTTGACCCAACAGAATCAAGAAATGCATTCAAGTAAGGCAGACCCAGCTTCTTAGCTTTTCATGCAAATATCAAAAATCAAGGTCAAATTAATTACCATTCCTCAACATCAAGAACACTTTTTTAATTTAAATTCCTTGGAAACTATAATCTATGCCTGTTTATACAAAATTGAGGGTTCCAAACTTTTTGTAGAAATCTAATATAATATAAAGTATCCTCTTTTAATATACTAATTTGCTTGTTTTTTTAGTTGCAAAATCAGATATCCGAATTTTATTACCAAATTTGCATCTCCTTTATATATATATATATATATATATATATATATAAAGTAGCTAATCCGTTCAATCTATCTTGTATCATTGTTGATCTTAGATGGAACTTAACTGGTTTTAATTTTAAAAGATTTATTTCTACAGTTGTAAGAATTACTTTTATTGTTAATAATATTTTATAAGATATTTATTTACTATGGTAGATAAAAAGTCATATGAATAATTATTTTAAGAAATGACGTATATAATTAAATAATTACATGTATAATTAATTATATTGATTTCTCTTATATTGTGATGATCATTTTCCAAAGCTAAGGAAAAGGGACAAAAGAGGTTAGATGTGCGTGCGTGGTCCATACATCACATGCTACAATGCATAATCACCAAAGGGTATCTGAAAGTCCTGTCTATCACTTATTATATATACATATAATGTGAGAGAGATGCACTAAATATTGCATTTTATAAAAATAAAAAGGTTTTCATTTTCTGTAAATACTCAATAATTTCAACAACAAACAATAGTTTGATAAAGGGAATAAAATAAATACATCAAAAATTGTCAGATTTATTTATTTTAACTTTCAAAGAAAAGGTAGAAGTATGTGTTGCTATCATGAAATAATGCATTTAATAGTTAGAATTATTCTTAAAGTTTCCATAAAGTTTTCTTTACAATAGCGATAGTGAGAATAAATTATCAGTATCATCATCAAACAAAAAACAAAAAAAAAAATAGAACTTAAAACTTCACACATATTTCCCAAAATTCACGTAACTTAGGCCAACCTTATCAGCTACTATGCCGATTATTATAATGTAAGGATTTTATGCAAAAAAAATATCTCAGCATTCCATAAAAAAGCTAAGAGATTGAAAAATTACATTGGAAAATTCCAAGTATAGAACAATAATATTTCAAATGGCTTTATTTTTTAAAATGATCAAATTATATATCTTTCAAATAACTCAACGTTTTAGATTCTCTTACTTTTGCAATTCTATCCAAAGCAAATCGCTTAAATTAAACAATAAAATTTGGTTGCTGAATCATATGAAGAGTCATATTGTATACTTTTTAAGAACAAAACCTCGAGCAAAGAAATCTTAAACGACTGCAATGTTTGGTGTGATAGATATTACCTTAGAAAAATTGTATTTTATGGAGAGTGACAAAACCCAGTGAATCTGTCGGTGGATTTTTCAAGATACTGCTTTTAGAGATCAAAATACAAATGAACACAACAAAATTAAAGAACTTGGTCAAGAAAACTTTCAATCATTCAAAAAAACCAAACTTTCAATCAGTTTTGATCCCAAATTCTACAAACAAAACACATACTCAAGACTCAAAGTACTGATTTTGCAATTTGGTTGAGAGAATCAAAGTGAACTCAGAAAAGCAATGACAGAGAAAAGGGTTGAGACACTGCAAGATTATATTGAAATAGCAGAAAAGGTTAGGTGGAGTAGAATGTGAGAGTTACTGTCAACACAATGACTAGTTCTTTATGATGAATTTAAACCCTTGTTAAAACAAGAATTCGCAAAGTGAATAAAGAAAATAAGCATAGAAAGAATAAAGAAAATAAGCATAGAAAGAGTAAAGGGTTAAGAACCTATGAAATCAACAATGAGACGGCCATCACAGTAACGGCCAGCAGGGTGGTGGAAGTAGGTCATTCCTTGGGGAGGACCAGGTTGTCCAAAGGCAGCAGAGAGGCCTCCAGTGTCAGAATTGGAGTCACCAAAGTTGAAGATTGCAGGGAAATTACACTGCTTTGAAGCTGAAACTGAGTTTCTGGCATTGAAACAAAGTGCAACAGATATCACAAACCAAAGGGTCATTAACCTACTCCTGCTATTCATTTTCATGTTGTTGTAGCAACAGTTTTGCTCTGAATTGAAAAGGGTGAGAGAGGAAGGGAAAGGGTATGGAGTAGGGAATACAAAGTGGACCTAAGTTCAGAGATGTACTTAATGATGTTACTGAACAGCATAAAAAAAGGTGAACTGTTAACAGCATGTCTTTGTTTGGAGTCTATCCATTATTCCATGGAATTTGAAAAAAAAATTGTTTCCCTTTAAAACAAACATCTTATTAAGATTTTTCCTTTCTTTTTTTAACTCTTTCCATTTCATTGAATCAATTATTTATTTCTCTTTTCTGATGTGTTTCTTTCTATGTATAAGAATTACACTTTTCAGTGCACTGAAATCATGTTTAATGGTAATAAAAATGTTGCCATAAATATATTTAGACATATCCACATTATCTTCAACATCTAGTAAATTGGATAAAAGAAAAAAATATGTGCATATATGATAAGATAGGAAATAAGTGATATTAATATATTGTTTAAATATTGAAATATTAATTCTTAAATTTAGCAGATAGAATATATTTTTTATTGTTTGTTTCTTTACATGCATGGATATATGTAAAAGAGTTTGTTGAATGAAGTGTCTATTTTACTAAATAAATTCCGGTGGGATTTTTATTCTAGTAATAAAAGTAAGATATAAATATATAACAAATTAAATAAATTAGAATAATATTTAAAATATTTTAAAATATGTTTTAACATTTCCTTTCAAGTATGTGAATAAGTGTTTTTCATTTCAAAGTTTAGATATAATTTATTCAAAATTGTTGTTGTTCAATCCTATGGTGTGTATGTCTACAAGTTGATTTTGAGTGAACACATATAAGATACAAATCAAGTCATTGTCAAGCTTTTCTTTAATAAAATGTTTGTCCTCCTCGATATGTTTGGTTTTATCATACTAGGTTGTGGGTTATACTAAATTTATTATCACAATATAACCGCATAAGTTCCTCCCACTTTATCTTTATAATCTTCTAGTATAATCTTCATCCATAAAAGTTCACATATTTTTTGGCCCATTGTTCAAAATTATGCTTCAGTAGTACATCTAGCTACCATACTTTGTTTTTTGCTCTTCCAAACTAGGTTTCCATAAAGAAAGATACAATATTTAATAGTTGACCTCTTATCCATAGTTGAACTTGTATAATCAACATTTTGTATATGCCTCAAGAATAGCATTCTTATTTCTTTTGAACAAAATTCATCTTCTTGGAGTCCTTAAATATTGGACAATTATAAGTGCAATTTGTAAATGTACTTCCTTTGATTGGTGCATGGCTAACTAAGCTCACATCAAAGACAATATCTGACCTAGTGTGAGATAGGTAAATGAGTCTTCCCATAAGTCTTTGATACATTTCTTTATCCACATAAACATCCTCATTTACACTTTCTAATTTTATATTTGGATCAACAAGTATATTTGCTAGTTTGCAGGCTGTTTTACCTATTTATGTAGCAAATCAATGGTATATTTTGGTTGGGATATGAAGATTCCTTTCTTGGAATGGGCTACTTCAATACACAAAAAATATTTTAGCATCCCTAAAGTCTTGATTTCGAATTCATTAGCAAGACATTGGCTCAACCTTTGTTGTTCCTTTTTATCATTCTTAGTAATAATTATATCATCCACATAAACATTGTTACTCCCCCTGAATCAGAATGTTTAATGAATAAATTGTGGTTCCCTTGGCTTTGTTTGTATTTAAGACTTTGTCATAACTTTGGTGAATCTCCTAAACCATGCTTTAGGTGACTGTTTCAACCCGTATAACGCCTTTTTTAATTTGAAAATTGTGTTGACCTCAATCTGTCTTGTATCCCTAAGTGGTATTTCCATGTATATTTCTTCTTCATGATCCCCATGTAGGAATGCATTTTTTACATTAAATTGTTATAGTTCCCAATTGTGGTTTGCTACCAATGACAAAATTACTCTAACCATGTTCATTTTGGCAATTGGTGCAAAAGTCTCTAAGCAATTCATTCCATATGTTTGGGTGAATCCCTTAGTCACCAACCTTTCCTTATACCTCTCAATAGTCCCATCAGCCTTGTACTTCACAGTATAAACCTACTTGCACCCAACAACTCTTCTTCCAGGTGTAGGATGACTAGTTGCCAAGTATTGTTTTTCTTCAATGCCTTTATCTCCAAGTCCATGGCTTGTTTTGATTTTTTGTCAATTAATGCCTCAGATACATAAGAAAGTGTAGTTGTGGTGTTCAGGCTTGTGAGAAAGGTTTTATAGGTAGGTGAGAATTTTTCAAAGGTAGACAATTTATCAAGGGGTAAGGTTGTTGTTTTGTGCATGTTCGAGTTCCTTTTCTAAGAGCAATGGGGAGGTCTAAATTATTATGTATATGTTCAACTAGTTTTTTAGAAGGAAATTCATCACAAAAGTAGTAGAGTTATAATTTATAGGATCAAAATGAATTACCTCATGTAATGTTAGGGTTGGATTCTTGAACATGAGTAGATCTTGGAATGGTCTTTCCTCTTCGTGTGTACACCAAATTTTTCCCAAACTTTGTATTGTCATGTGGTTTAGTTGTTGGTCCTGTAGATTGAGGTATTTGATTCACCTCTACTTGTTCCTCTCCAACTTTAGCTTCACATATAATGGTAGTATTCTTTTGAATTTTTGTTTTTGGTCCAAAAGTCAGATTTGGTAATATAAAAGGCTCATTTCCCTCTCTTAATGTGTCCCCTGAAGATAAGATTGGTCAACGTAGCTTACTCGTTCATTGAAAGTAACATCTCTTGTCACAAAGAATTTTTTGGATGGAAGATGAAAACATTTATATCATTTTGTGTGGTTGAGTACCCTAAGAAATGCATTTAGGTCAAGTTTTCCTCTTCCATTGCTATGAACATGTACAAAAGAGACACAACCAAATATTCTAGGTTGAAGGTTATTTTCTACATTATATGTGGGTAGAATGAGTTTAAGACTTCCATAGGGCTTTTTGAGGATAAAATAGAAGGTGATCTATTAATCAAGTAAATAGTAGTGATAATAACTTCCTCCCAAATCTTTTTGGAAAGGTTATTTTATGGATTATATGTGCGTAGAATGATTTTAAGACTTCCATGGGGCTTTTTGAGGAGATGGTAATCTATTAATCAAGTAAGCAGTTGTGAGAATAGCTTTCCCCATAAATCTTTTTGGAACATTATTTTAAAAAAGAAGTGCTCTAGTTTTATCTAATAAATGCCTAGTTTTCCTTTCTGCAATCACATTTTGTTGGGTGTGTTTACACATGAGGATTCATGGATTATTCCTTCCTTTTGAAAAAAAGAATTTAAAGTATGATTGAAGTAATCTTTGGCATTATCAGACCTAATTATTTTTATATTAACCCCAAATTGATTTTTAATCATTGAAACAAACTATAGAAAAATAGGGTTGACCTCAAATTTGTGTTTAAGAAGGAAAAATCATGTTACCCTTGTACAATCATCTATAAAGGTTATAAACCATTTATTGCCTTAGGTACTAGGAATATTATAGGGACCCCATATATTTATATGAACAAGATAAAAAGGAGAAATGCTTACTTTATTGCTGATAGGAAAAGGTATACGCTTGTGTTTGGCAAGCTCACACACCTCACAATGAAGATGTTCCAAATTTAAATTTTTAAACAAGGAAGGAAATATTAACTTTATCACTCAAAATAAAGGATGTTCCAAACGATAATAAAACAAGTGGATTTTTTCTTTATTGGACATGGATGATTCAGATATTAGATAGCGACTCTTAATGGGCAACCTCAAATCTTCCATCTAGTAAAGGTCATGTCATTCTTTAGCATGTCCAATCGTCCTTCCTGACTTCTTGTCCTAAAATATACAAGAGTTTTTATGAAAAACTGCATTACATAAGAGGTCATTGGTAAGTTTTTGTATAGATATCAAACTTGTGGATAATTTGGGGACGTGAAGAACATTTTTTAGTATTATGGTTGGGGTTATTTAGACATCTCCTTATCCAGCTGCATTTATGAGGGTTCCGTAAGTTGTAAAAATTTTCTTCTTATTGGGACATAGGGAATATGGAGAAGTGTTTAGGAATGATGTCATATGGTTTATGGCTCCAAAGTCTAGTATCTAATAACGAGTAAAGGGGGTATTTGAGAAATTAAATCTACAAGAAAATGGGAACTTACCAGAGTATGTCAATGAACACGCACCTGTGGGTTTTTCCAATTTACTAAGAAAGAACCTTAATCTTTCTAACTCCTTATGGTTGAGTTGGACAAATCCTTCTTAACTTTCAGGACTAACAGCAACATGAGCTTGCACCCCTCTCCTTAGAAGGCCTCCTTTGTGTCCCAAATCTTTTCTTTGAGGTTTTCCATGTAACTTTCAATATTTGTCCCTTGTGTGACGCGACTTGTTGTAATAGGTGTACGAAACTCATTCATTTTTCTTCTTTGTTATGGGAAGAGATCTACTTTCTTTTGGTATGCAGCCATGGCTATTGCTCCTTCAACAATCATAATTAAATTATCCGCAATTGGGGTCTTCAACATTATATTACTTATGCTTTCTTTACTTTGAATAATTATCATTACTTTGTTGAGTCTAGGAACCTTCTCCTTGCTTAATATTTGGATTATGACTTGATTATATTCTTGGTTTAGGCCTACCAAGAAACCATACACCCGATCTTGTTTAATGTATTCTCTTAGAATTTCTAAATCTTCAAAACACTTCACCTTGTATTAATCTAATTTCATCCATAAAGATTTGAGTTGATTAGCATACTGTATGACAATTTTAATGCCCTGTTTGGTTGCAATTGTTTTTACTTTCACCTCATAAATTTGGGCAACATCCTTTGCCTCAGAGTAGGTTTGCTCTATTGCAATCCATATAGCCTTCGCAAAAGTGAGGAACATGCATGTATTGCTAATTTATGGAACCATTGAGTTTCATAGCCATGTCATGATCATGGAGTCTTCTTCATCCCATGACTTGAATCTGACATCTTATTCCGCAAGGGCATCATCAATGAGGTGGTTGACCTTTCCTTTCTCTTTTAGAATAGTCCTAATGAGTTGAGACCATTTAAGATAATTTTTTT